AGCCATCATTGTTTGAAGCTGGCAATTCAGCACCAGACATTCTGAGCTCTATTACCGTCATCGAAACACGTCCTTGAAATAAACTTGTCAGATTCGGACGCGACTTGTCACTTGGATAAACAAACTGCACGTGATATACTTTTTCCTATTGGGTGGGAGTTAGTTTTGGTGACGGGGCAATATTTGTACGAATATTCGTACGAATATTGGCCTTGCGAATACGAATATTCGTAGAGGTCTGTGATCTACGAATGCGAATGCGAATATCTCAAAATGTTACGAATATGTATTCGTGCCGACCCCTAGCTTCGGTGATTCCGAAAATGTCTGAGCTCGAAACTATAGTGGTAGATAAAAGTTCTGTTTTCATGATACCTAACGGCGGTGACCAAAGAAACAGAGGATTCATCTCAGTGGAGCCGTGTCGCGTGAAGGCGGGGATTGTTGGCAGAAAAGCCACAGGCAAGAGACTGACAAACTCTCGTGCTTGTTAACCTACTCTGGGAACCAATATGTTGGCCCTGGGAACCTCAAAAGCATTCCTAGGGGCTGTTTATCCCCTAGGAAATACTCTTGAGATCCTGGGGCTGTTTCTAATTCTAGGAAAGTGAGGTCTACCCCTGGGATCTTCACTTTTCGTTCCTGACTGAATACGGAACTGGCTCTGGGAATACATTGACCAGATCTGGGAGCTGTGGAGACCCTGGGAGCTTACTTTAGGGTCCTAAAGTCAATAAATTGCCTTCCGAGATCGCCGAAAGCCCTCACAAAACACCATCACCGGACCTGCGCACAATTCTGCGTCATTGGATCCCCCCAGGAGGCCAAATCATCGCTGTCAAGGATATAGATGAAGCATGCGGAACGGATGGAGATATGATCCGCACGGGACCCACATGGTGTGCATGGGTTCCCCTGAACGCGAGGAAGCTACCTTTCTTTTGCTTCCTCGCGCTACGTCTTGTATCTAGAGTCAACTATAGTTGTTCTTAATATTGATTATTCATCTTGAAACACTATCCACCTCTATGTATACGTGAGACCCTCACAATCGCCCCAGGAATCAACAAGTCGTCAACAGGAACGCGGCTTTGATTCCCAGTGGTGTGTGTACCAGACCCCAGAAGCTACATCGCGTTTTCTGGGGCTACGTGGCTCCTAGAGGATGTTTCTTTGCTCCCAGAAACGTTTCAGAGGCTTCCGGAAGCAAGAGAACTCCTAGGGTCAAGAGATGAGTTCCTAGCACTGATCGAACCGTTAGCAGGAACGTGACCGGTTTCGTGATGGTGATGATGGGATGTTCAGACGAGCGCTGTGTTACACTGAGAGTCCAAAAGCCTCATGGTGGCCACTTGCGGCCGGTCTAGATATACTCGCTTAGTAATCGAATTTCTGACTCCAGAAACTTGTTGATGGGTCAGCGGCTATTGTAGCAGCTCAGCTGCAGCTGTAAAGACAAATCCCAAAGCAAATTTGTGTTACACCGCTAGCTTTAACAACACTGGATTTCACCCCTTCGTAGCACGATTTGCCACTATACGTCCTTCGAAGTGAAAGCTGAGGGGTCAAAAAGACAAAAATGAATCAGAGCGGATTGCGCTGTGATGGTTATGACAGCAAGAAAATTGATGAGATGACTCGATGCCTCATTATTCTGTGAATGTTGAACATCGGCTAAGTTCGACCCTGCACAGTCATCAGATAGAAGTTATATACCGATTGTACAGGCATATCTGGATGACGCTCGTTAATAATACGATTCAACGCGTTGATTTAGCTCCCAGAACTCCCACTACTAACTCCCAGGGAGACTTCACGGAAAATGAGGAGGACATCCCTCGTTATGTATATAACCATCCAATTTCCCATTTCTTTAATTATATATCATCAAAAGCTCTCAATCTTTCTCTTGTGTTTGAGGCATTGTTTATAGCAAGAAACATGACCTCAGGAACTTTGGAAGAGCCAGAACCCGGGACAAGACACGGTATGCATACCCCGACAAGTTAGAATATTCCATCCTGGCCTGACATTGAGAAGATTGGAAAAGCGCAGAGTTGCTTTGGGATCTCAAGGATTCCTGGTCTTTCTTCGCCAATTTGAGGGACGCGTATCGACTAATCAAATTGACACGCAAGTCTCTGCTCTCACCCGCGGTAATTTCCCAGCGTCCAAAAAATATCGATGGGGTTAAAGCGGCGGTGAAAACCTTCCGTCTTGATTCCAAAAGTGGAACATTAAGCACCGAAGAGCACAGCACACGACGCAAGATTGTATATGGTCGCTATGCTGAAGTAATGAATTACGTTGAGCGTTGGTCAGGTGAGGGATCTAAGATAGACTTGGATGAAACTATCGAAGTTGCTGACTACGTGAAGATTATCGATTTCCTGTCACGGCTCCGGCAAGAGAAATGAGTTGTGCAGATGGAAAAACGAAAGAGGAAGGAAGCTCTCTGACCAAAGGATAGATTGGGCGTCGTGCGATTATTTCGCCGCTGCCACGAATGCACTCAGGAAACTATTGATGCTTTCGCCAATGGTGGGATCTTCCAACGATGGAAAGATGACTGATTGCAGGTTGTGTTCAGGCCAAAACTGGATGAGGATGTATTGCACGAAGCCGTCAATTCTGAATAGCAGATAGTAGCATATCGAATTTTCTCGGTCGGGATAATCCAGCCCATAGCGAGTTGGATGAATTGGTGGCAAGCTAAGGATTTAATACCCATACCCGTTCAAAAGTATCTTCCCACTCCACTTTTTCGGGTCCCCTCTCAAAATATATATATCACTTACACTGTATATAGCACCACCATTTTATAGTCTATAATGCTATAATTAAAAATTGAGGTTGCTTAATAATAGCGCGATAAAAAATCTCGCTTAATATTTTGTATAATACCCCTTAGCCTTCCGTACTGCTTTCAAACGTCTTCCCATACTCAATATCAGCGCATCTATCTTTGCTTGATCTAATGCCTTCCAAGCTTCCACTAGACATTTTTTAAAATAAAGCCAGTCTATCTCCTTTCTTCCTTGGCCAATAAGCTCTGGAAACATTGCAAAAAGCTTCGATTTCAACCAACGCCAGACCGGTTCAATTGGGTTTAAATCAGGTGAGTGCGCGGGCCAATTCCTCGACGTATACTCCGTGCCTTTCAAACCATTCTTGCGTCGCCACCGCTAGATGAATCTTTGCGTTATCTTGCTGAAATACTAAATCAGGGGTATAGATTGACATCAGACCTTTTTCGAGTGCTTCGATATACGATTTTGAAGTGTAACCCCTTCCTGAAGGCGAGTCTTCGTCCCGTTCCATAATAATTAATTCTGTCCGACCACCTAGCCAGATTCCGGCCCAAACCATTTGCGAAATATCTTTAACGTGTACTTTCGCATTCACAAGATCGCGGCGAAGACCCTCGGAGTCCGTACGGAAGCACCATTGTGGTCCAAAGTTCGAGGTTCGCTGCACCGAACACTCGTCCGAGAAGATCCACGATTGGAAGCTTTCACGCCGCCATTTTCGCGCAAATCTTAGCCGTTTCCTTGCAAGAGAGGGCTTAATTGGTATCTTCCTTTTTGAACGACGTTTTCCGAGACCGTATTGCTTTAAAACTCGCTGTATAGTGGACCGAGACGGATGACCGGGTGTCGCAGCACTAAGCTGTTTATAGGTCCAAAAGGGGTGTCGGCGCGCTTGTAAATAGAGGCAAGTAGAAGCTCGAGAGCTTAGTATAGGAGGACGGCCGGTTCGGGGAAGGCTTTCAAATAATTGATGCTCCTCGAAGCGTTTCAACGTATTGTAGATCGTCCGACGGCTACATTCGAATTCATTAGCTAGCTTTGACTGCGAAATACCGTTCTTATGGCCAAATACAATAGCTGACCTTTGCTCAGTAGATAGTTCAGCCGTTTTACGACGTTTTGAACTTATTTCCATTGAAATCGGACATGTAGGAGAGGTGTAGGAAGAAAAATAGAAAGGTGGGTTGGTTGCTGGGTCAAATTGTAGTGGGGCAGTGGGAAGATATTTTTGACTAGTATCTGTAGATCGTTGTCTCACGATGAGAATTCTCATAGCTTGTTCACACTAGTATAATTTCTCCGAATTTTAGGATTGACAAGAGCGCAGCAAAGCACCGATGACATCGTCAGAGTGGACAGTCGATTTTGAAAGATTCTCGGAGAAATGAAAGACCCATTTTGACAGTATCCGTCATTGATATGTTTATTTGGAGGGCATTCCTACAGGCACTACGTGCCCTTTTCCCTTCAATAATACACGCCGTAGCTATCCACCAGGTTCTGCGAAGCTTCATATTTGCACCGATACTGCCAATGGCCCTCAACCCAATTTGGCTGTCGTTGAAATCGCCCAAGAATCGAAGGGATAGAGATCTCCGGGCACGCAGCATGCGGTATACAAAACAGGGGACTACAGTTGAGATTCGTCGTCAGAGATACCAATCTTTCTACGAGGTTAGAAACAGCGTATAAATATCGAGCGACCAAAAGCTGCACTGGCACGCGCATGAATAGTGCACCATGGACAGCCACATCTGGATCTTATCATTGCCAGGGATCGCGGTTGCTTGGGATTGACCACTAGGCTACATTGTAACAAGCCAAGAAGGCACAATGTTGGTCAACCAGTAGCGAATCGGACGTGCACGTCTGGCGCTCTGCCAAAAAAATTGCTATCCTGAGTCTTCTAAGAATGATCTCTCGTAGGACAATAAACACTGCACACGCAGTAACATTGACTGCCTGATATTCTATAAGCAAATTGCACACTTTGAAAGGGTTGGCATAGAAAATTATCTATTATAAGGCTTTGGAGAGTTATTGCGAAGCTGGAGAAGGGAAGGGTGGGGGCTGTGCGCTTGGGCAGCTGGCAGGTTCGATGCAAACCCGGAGAACCCGTTGAAAACGCTAGACCCACATGATTTAAAAGCAGTAATTACGGTCGCTTTGGCTCACAAAGCCCACTTCTATTTAGATGCCCTTAGATAACACAAACCAAAGCCAAGGGTGGTAGTATTTCTCATCATCCATAGGATCCAGGATCATTGGCAGATATTTCATGTGCCATTCTTCATGAAGAGTATCACCAAAGTACTCTGGATCCACTCTCACTCGTCGTGCCTTACAATATTCCCAGTACGCAGGATACCACCCAGCCTGACCCCAGTCAATGATCGCTGCTACTTGTGGATTCGACCCAAGCGATAGAAGGATGTCGGGTAGAAAAAAATCGCTATGAGTGAAAACGATAGGCACTTCGCTGTCGATCTCAATTCCGCAAGCATCTTGAAACAGTTGAATGGCGTTCACACCTTGAAATGGACCTGCGAGTTCTGGGTGGGAATCGAGGAATGCCTCACTCAGTGGTTGCTTACCGAAACTGCCTGTGGAGTAGATTTCAGATTAAGGTTGCTTATGTATTATATCCGAGGGAATGCACGTACCGATATAACAGTCTTGCTTGTCCTGCGTTAAGGCCCTCCATGTTTTCACAATATATTTAAGTTGTTCGCAGACGGCCCGTCTCTTAGCGTCATCCATGCCACTCCATCTCTCTTGCAAAGTCTCGCCCTCAATCAAGGACATGTAGATAAAGACCTGTCCTTCATCCTCAGTCCAGCCAAAAATCTCAGGAGTAGATACCTGTCCTTGTAGTTGCTCGCGTATTCTCGTTTGAGTTTGAGCCTCGGTCACGGTCACGTCGGCTCCGTACTGAACCACCAGTCCAAGAGATGGTATCTTGACAAGAGGGGGGCCGTTGAAATTTGTGGCGTAAAGATTGCCAGAATTTTTGTTGATAGCTCTTATTTCAACTGGCGTAGGGAGTGCAGAGACTCGTCTCTCTCTGAGAAAGCTAGACTCGGGAAAAATATTCGTTACGACGGGTGAATGGGGTTCTAACCCAGTGCTTGATTTCGAAGTATCAGTGGTCGAGATGGGACATTGAGGAGCGTGACAGTCAAGTTGGGAAAAGAATAGTCGTGACGGGCAGCGATTTGAGAAATGGGTTCACTCGATGGCTGCGAGACGATGCTAGACGCCCTCAACATTACTATCGCACCAGTTATGTTCTCGCACTAATCTGCGTACACTCTTTGCCCTCATGTGCACAACGTCCCCGCATGTGTTCCGTCAAAACCAGGGAGTTGTCATCGCTTCGTATCACCCTGCTTATACCAGCTGCGATGACCCACCCCAGGTTTCCATCGACGATGTTGTCATCCACATACAACATATTGGTCAGTTGGTTGGCCACCGTCAGGTTGGGCTGGGATCCGTTTTTGATAGTATGGTGGCGGGAGTCCGGGCGCTAGAGGATGCCAGTCGGTATTCCGATCTCATTCAGAAATTGTTAGATCGGTGGCTATCGGTGGAGGATGTAGCCGGTGTATTATGATGTAATGTGTTGCGCGTCATGCATGCCGCAGAGGATGTGGATGCTTCGATGGGGATGAAGAGCCTCCGGAGGATAAGGTGAAGCCTTTTTTCACGTAGAGACAATTCTTCAAATCCAGTCATGCTTTAATGAAGTACGAAGCTCCAGCTCCTTCTTTTAATTGGTGCCCTCAGGGTGTCATTATTCAAGAGCACTTGAGAGTTTTCCATTCAACTATTGTGGAGATCACTTCACTCGTCTGCAGAGGTTATATTCCCGCGCAAGGTGACATTACAATCCGGCAGCCAATTTGTTGCATTTAATGAAAAACATTTAGCCACGATAGATCGAACTTATTAGATTAGACCATATATGACAGGCTTAATTAATATGAATTCAGTCAACGATTCATTTGCACGGCAAGTGTTACCTCCGACAGGCACAGTATGCCTGGAAGATTCAAAGTCAAACATCCATGCACATCTACCATTTTGACTTGCGTTCACTCATGGCTCTGCTTGGATTTGGATGACAACTCCAATTGTTGACACATGGTGATGCGATCTGCAGATCCGATATACAAAAGTTGTAGACAGCTCAGGGTCGGTTAAGTTGTTCGCGCCGATAAAATAAAAGGAACCCAAAACTAAGCGGACAGTTAGTACGATTCTCGAATAGAATAGGGAAATGTCACTGACCTGGCCAAAAGCTGGAAGAAAAGGGCGGCCCAGAACCACGCATTGGCTACTTTGTCCGTTGACGAGCCCACATCCGGAGAGATGCCTGCCGGACCGACATTGTTTGGAGCAAATCCACGGGCACAAATGGTAGCGATAGACCCAAGAATCTGGGCGACTAGTAGGACGAAGCAGACATGGACTCTGGTTAGGGTCTGCAAAAGGATCATTCCCAGGCCGACTTGTTGAATCTCATCAAGGAACCCCAGCCAGAGCCAGACACAGCGAGAGGCGAGAGCCCCGGAGGTCAGACTGCTTGTCCACGGGAGGTAGAATCCGATGTTAGAGGTTCCCCACCAAGTTTGCGCCCAGCGCGGTGCGCCAACACTTAGTCCGAAAACGGGTAAGATCCAGCTATGCTCTTTGGATAGGAATCGGAAAATGAGTAGCGCAACTATCCAAAGAATGACAAAGAAGAATACCACTAAAAGTACCACCTCCCATGTCTTGGCATGTTTAGATGACCACAAGAAAGACCAGTTCCGGCCAAACGCCGCAGCGAGGAACCAGTTCTGGATAATGACCATGAAGAAGAACCAGAGAACAATACGCCGGCGGAAGAGTGACGTGTCAAAAAATAGGACCTTTCCAGGAGATTGACGATAGTATTTCGGCAGGCCAAGAGCAAGTACAACGCCAATGACAAGACATACTGCGGCGATAGGGATCACCACAGCAGTGAGTTTCCATGTATTTAAAGTAGCCGTAGAAACGCCCCCAATCTCTACCGCAGTGACCCTGGAGCTCCAGTACCACAGTGCAACTGTGTAAATCTGTTGGATTCCCTGGATAAGACTTGCGCGGAACATCCAGTCTTTCACGGGAACTGCACCCTGGTCGCCAAAGTTCAGCGCAAAGAACAGAGATCCACTGGAAGAGGCAGCCGCATAGACGCCTGCGGCAACATTCTGTGCCCATGCTCGACCGAGACTAGTGATCCCGAAGGGTGAAACGCCGATGACCATAAATGCTAGGGAGTATAACAGCCATGGGAGACTGAGGACAATCACCGATGGGAAGCGGTAGAAGAGAGTCCACCAAGCGATAGTGGAGACGCAATAGATGGTCGCAATAATGTAGAGCTTAACAGCAGTCTCGCCTACCTGACCAACGAGAAGAGTTACCTGTGCCGAGTTTGTCGCGATGATCTGGCCAAGACCCAAGAACAGAGCGTAGACAGGCCAATTTCCAACACGGCGTCTCATAAACCTCTGGATGGCAATCGGTCTCTTGTATCCCAGCCGAGAGAGCCATTCATCAATTTCACCAAGATCATTAGTTTCCAGCTCTCCAGGAGCCTGAGAAACGCGAGTATACGCCGCGTTATCGAGGGCATCCTCCGAAGCAGCTTCATCCAGTGCACGTTCTTTAGGCTGAACTTTCAACTGCGCGTCATTGTACATGTTGAAGAATTTCCGCTCGCTCTTCATCAAGTACGTCTCAATACAGTAGTCCGTGATAGAATTTTTCGTATTCAGCTTGGTCAGAAGCGTTTCGAAGTGCCGCGTGAAGTGACCCATTCTGTCAGTAAAGGTTGGATCGACCTTCTGCAGCTCGAAGACAGATTGATCGTGATCGCCGATGACAGACGGCAACGAAAGAACAGACACATTGCGGATGTGAGAGAGAGGAGCTCTCACTGGAGAAGACTCCCGCGAGACAAAACTTGACGAGTCCGGGGTAGATATCTCGGACCAGCGTGGAGAGTGGCAGCTGTTGTTTCGATAAGAACCAACTTCGTGAGACCCAAGAGCCCGGTTAACGGCTGCCACCGCATCTTCGGGGGAAATGTAGTCCTCCTGTGGCGTGTCGGTGCCTTCGTCTTCAGCGTCCGTGGTATCACTTTCAGCTCTCTGGTCGGAAATTTGACTCTCGCGCAATGACTTCTTGACAAGGCGCTTCCTGCCCTGGCCAGGGCCATCTCGCCGTCCAAGCGAGAGTTTGCGACCCAGAATGCTGCTCCTGTTACTTTCAGTGCCCCTAAGGTGGTCAGCTGCCTGTAGTTCTTGGAGAGATGGGTGAGCGAGTTGTGATGTTCTCACTGGTGGCGAGTCCAAGCCCTCTGCCAGGGACATATCGAATCTTGGAAGGGCCACCGTTGAGAAATGCTCGTCCCGCATCTCTGAGTATATTTGTGACCGTGCGGGGCCCGCCGTGGTAGTTCGGTTCTTCGCATGATGGATGTGGATTGCTGTCCGTTGCAAGACTTCGAGTTTATGGGTCCATTCAAGGACGGGGAATCGCTGCTTGGCAGAGTTTGCCCGCATTTTCCTTCGCGTCTCTTCTGACGAGTCAAGGGCAGACTTGATTGCCGTTCTCAATTGATGCAAGAGATGACGCGCTGAGTCGGATTCCACAGTATACCACCAACCAGGCATCTGGCCTAGACCCCCAATGCGAGAGCCGATCCCAAGAGCACCCTTCCGTCCAAATTCAACGGCAATCAGTCCGAATGGTTCGTCCCGAGAGGGGATCAAGGCAAAGTCAGCACCAGAAAATACATAGGGAGGCAGGACAGTAAACTCTGGCTTCGAGAAAATACGACCTGGAAACATTTCCATGATGCGCTCCAGCTTGACAGCAGCGAGCCTGCCATATAGGTCGACGATAGGGCCGACACAGATCAATTGAACCTGCGGTCTCGCAAACAATACCGCCGGTATGACATCTGCAATCAAGTCAACGCCCTTCTGCTTTGACCATCGTCCGACGAATACCAACAGATCAGCATTGCGATCCTCGCTCAGACCAGCCCACTTCTGTGCCTTCAACTTCTCGCTTATTCGTTCATCGCAGGACTGAATAGGAACTTCCCCGTCGGAGCTATCCTCCAACGTGCCTGTGTCGGAGGGGTCTGGGTTTGGGAGACTGCCAATCTTATCAAGACTCCAGAAAATTGGATAGCGAGCCCATGACCGCTTGCTATACTTCTGCGACACACCAACTGCACCGAAGCCACGTTGATGATATCGCAAATAGCTAGCACCGGTGTGAAGTAAATTGAACACATTCCCGAATTGGCAGTATTTGGTTGCAGTTTCAAGTGGTATATTGAACACAGAACAAACTTCTTTCTTTTCTTGCAATGTTCGCAGCGCCCAAAGGCCTTGGAACTCTGCGTTATGCAATGAAAGACAAACGGGTATCGTGCGAGTCGGCAACAGATAAAGCGGTGCCAGGCACCCATGGAAGTCGTTGATATGGTACAGGTCAATCGCCGGTGATCGCTTTATCGTTTCTGCGATACACTGATTCCACGCTGAATAGTAAACTGCACTGTCAAGATCGTCCATACGGGGAGGATAGGGCTCTGCTTTAGTCTGCTGACGAAAGACGGGAGCGTCAAGCAAAACATATGTAATGTTTTCGACTACGTGATACTGTACTTTCACCAAATATGGGTTATCTAGTATCGTAATCACATAAGGCTCAGCAGGCGTGTCTTGGGGATACTCGATATCACTGACGCATGGAACCACCCAGATAAGATTCTGATGCTTCAAGTTCTGGGACATGAGCTGGGCCATCACACCGAGACCCCCAATCTTAACCTTCAGCCCCCAGTCTTGGATGTCGTATTCCATTGTTGAGATCAATACTGTGCGTCGTTGGTTGGAGGCGCCCGCGGCAGCAATGTCTGTCGACACGGCCGTTTCTGGCATTATTTTCGGCGATCCATCGTCCCCGGCGATCTTGTCTTTAACCCTCCGCCAAAACAGGACTTGTAGCCTACCTTCTTTGACCACGTTACCATCTTTATTGAACTTGACACGGTAAAAGGTTCGGATAAAGATGAGAACACCAGATAAGCCCATCAGGACCGGAAGAACCCACAAGAGAATGAAGAGCACAAGCTGGACCCATCCTGATCCAACTGGAATTAACTGGTATCGCAAGTTGCCATCGTTGAGGGAGATGGTCCAGCCAAGATATGGGAATGGGGGTAAAGTTGTGATATTGATGACGTTGGACGAAAGATACGACGGAGGAAGCTTCTGGACCACAGAGGAGCTATCGACATCGCCATAAACCTCTGTGGTATCCGGCGTGCCTACCTTGTCGGTTCCCCAAACATTCAGCTGTCCAACAGCCGGCCATTCATAGACAAAATCGTACCTCCAA